CCACCGCCCCCCCCCCCCCACTCCCTCTTTTTGTTTCCCCCCCTTGAAGTGCAGCCGCCAAACAGGACTTTCCTCACGAGCGGGCCAAGAAATAACCCACGACGCCGGCGCGCGCACAAAGGATGTTTTCAATTTTGCTTTCGTGCGCTGACATTTACAGCGAGGCTCTCCCTCGGGGAGAGGGCAGGCTCTGTCGCAGCTGCCTTACAAAGAGCCCGGGGACAAGCAGAGGGAATTCTCCCCCGGCTCGCACCCCTCCCGCCCGTTTGTGCCTGATTTTCTCAGTGGCCTCTGAAGTCTCAGACGAGTCACAGCAGGCTCTTGTCTGTGTTTTTCTTCCCTTCCCCGCTCAGCACCTACCCCCGTAACCACTTCAAGGCACGCACCCTCCTAATTAAGTCGCCTTGGACTGTCCCCGCACCAGGATTTCTCCTCCCCAAAGCAGGGAGAGAAATTTAAAAACATGAATGAATTACCAGCTTCTCTTTTCTCTCTTGAGCTGCTGGCGATGCTCACACCTGAACTGGGGAAGCACAAGAGGAAGTATTTCTACTTTTTCTTGCCCCCCTGAGCTGCTGCTCCTGGTTGTTGTGGGATGAAGGCCAGCGAGGAGGACAGACCCAGCATCCCCACGCTGATGGCATCAAGGATTTCCCTCAAACGTGGCGTAAATAACAGAGAAAAGAGCTCATGAACTGTGGACGTCTTACCTAGTTTATGGGGCGTTAGAGCAGCGGTGTCTGCCAATTCCAGCACAGAGAGATGCTGCAGATTAGATTCCCTAGAGAAGGGAAAAAAAAAAGAAGCCATCAGCGAGAAGACAACAAACCGCCTCCCGCTGTAATTGTGCTCCTTGTTCAACTCAAGGGACTCCTCCTGCTGCAAAAGGCAAGAGCGCACAGAACGGCGAGAGCTCACGCGGCGGAATTGGCACAAGGCAAAGAGTCAGCTCAGAAGGGGAAAAAAAAAATTAAATAAAGCCACCACCACCAAAACCCACCCTCCCCAGCACAACCTGACTCCTCGAACAATGCTCCCACAGCAACCGTCAGCTCGCAACGGCAAGAAGAGTATTTCAAGCGGATTCGGCAGGAACCTCCAATTATTTCAAGAGAGAACCGGGCACGGTAGAGACTTACAGTGTGTCGACAGGGACGTTGGACGCCAGGCACTGGCTCGCCCACCTGATCAGGTAGTAGGAGAGCAGCAGGGGAGAGGTGCGGTGCAGCAGGTCCTGCTGGGACTGGAACAGCTGTCCCCCTGCCAAAACCATCTGCAAGCAAAGCACGGCGGTTAGCACACCGGGAGAGCCCCAAGAGCAAGGCAGCAGGACGAGGGCAAGCAGCAAGGCTCGGCTCCCGCCCTTCTCATCCCTCCTGCGAGCAGACAGGTGATCACAAGAGCCCAGCAGTGAACGTGAGCCACCCAGGGGACCAGCAGGACTCTGGCACACGCCAGGAGAACCCAGTCACAGAATCAGTGAATTGACCTCTAGAGATCATCTAGTACAACCCCCTGCCAGAGCATGTCTCACGGGATGGCATCCAGGTGGGTTTGGAAAGTCTTTGGAGAAGACTCCACAACCTCTCTGGGCAGCCTGTGCCAGGGCTCTGTCACCCTCACTTTAAGTTTTTTCCTCATTTAGATGAAACTTCTAGCTTGTGCCCATTGCTCCTCGTCCTGTCACTGGGCACTAGTGAAAAAAGTCTGTTTGCACCCACCGTTTATATATTTACAGACACTGACAAGGTCTCCCCTCAGCATTTTCTTCTCCTCCTTCAATCTTTCCTCATAAGAGAGATACTCCAGTTCCCCCAGTCTGGACTCTCTCCAGCAGTTCTCTATCTGTCTTAAACTGGGGAGCCCAGCACTGGGCACAGTATCCCAGATGTGGCCTCATCAGGGCAGAATAGAGGGAGAGGAGTCACAAGTTACAGCATCATCACCTTACACCAGTGGGTGAGTTAAGTATCACAGTGGCCCAGACCCAGTGGGAAAAAGTTTAATGAGCAAACAAACACCAGCACCCTCTGATGCCAGGGACACCGGCAGAAAGGTGCTTTGCACTGCTGTGGCAACGTCACCGAGGAAAAAAATACTTTAAAAAACCCCCACATCACAGCTTTGCTGCAGAAACCAGCCCTGTCGCCCAGATACCGCGTCCCTGCATGCTCCAGCCAAGCGCAGCACGGCCAGGTGACGCGGGAGGAAAAGCAAGTCCCGCTTGTGAAGGACACGAGGGCGTCGAGGTGGCAAAGAGGCAGCTGCCCACCAAGCAAGCAGCAGATCACCTGCCTGGAGAGAGCCCGGCTGCGGAAGGGCACCTCACAACACCCTTTAAAGGCTCCCAGGGCAACCTTATCCAGGAGGAAACCAAGGTTTCCGAGTAAATAGTATGAGTTTAAACAACACCCGCCTCATCTGGGTGCTCGTTCCGCAGCCCTGCGTTCACCCGAACTGTCGGCACCGTCCCTCACG